ATAAAATCTCTTTAATCTACAGTCTTGTATTTGATGCAGTTATGCAATAATTTTAACTAATTATCTAAGCACTTTTTATAAACACTTTCCGCAATCATTTTGCTTTTATAGCAATGTTCGAGCCAAATCGTACGGGGCCTTCGTGCGATATATATATAATGTTAGGTCGATAGATGACCCGTTTGATCGTGTTTTTGATCATAATCAACCCGAATATGAATCGATGTTATTGAAGGAAATTGAAAGGTACTTTCATTTCATATGTGAAATTTCAAAAAGCAAAAACAAAAAAGTGTCATGAAAACATTAATTAATACGGATTTTTTCAAATATATTCGCGCTCTATCATTCATCGACAACTAGTATTGGAAATGTAGAATTTGAGGAAAATCTCTATTTGATAGTTTTTAAGTGAAGTGAAAACATTGAACTGTCAATTCCCGGTACTTTTCTGACGATTTCGTTAGCAAAATTGTCGATCGCAATGTTTCTTATATTATTCATTAAAAGTATGACAATGATGATGGTGATGGTGACGACAATCTCGATAATTTATTTTAATTAAAACCTTTCATATTAAGTCAAACGATTAGATACAAACACCATGATTGACTGGACAGGTGCCTGCTGTCAATAAGTTGAATTTTTTTTTTTTTTTTATTAAAACTTTTTTGCGTTTCAATCGTTTCTAGCGCTATATCTATATATATATATATATATATATATATTTAATTTTTTGCGTGTATTGCATAATTTGGAAAGAGGACAACAAAAGGTAAAAATTCATGTGAAAATTGAATGTGTGAATAACATCAAAATGAACTAAACAGTTCATAACGACCAGCGTTTGTTTTTTCGTTCTGTTTTTTTTTGTCTTTTTTTTTGTTTTTTTTTAACAACTCGAAGACATGATGATGTCGTCATATCATTTTTATGAAATATTAAAAAAAAAAAAAAAAAAAAACCCAGAAAAGTCATAAAAAACTGAATAACGTTAACATTCACTCAGTCATTTCATTCATATGCGACTTCGGAAAGCAAACATATAGTTTATCGAAAAGTTTTCTGAGAAAGTTATGCGTATTCCCCGCAGGTCGAATTATGAATGCTCGTCGAATTGGTTCAGGAGTTCCATTAGTTAAATTCTTGATAAATTAATTAACCATATAGAGTTTAGGAGGAGGAATAAATTTTTAAATATATCGTAGCGAGAAAGAGGAAGAGAGAGAGAGAGAGAGAGAGAGAGAGAGAGAGATAGAGAGAAGAGAGAAGAAGAGAGAAAAATTTTATGAGACTTTTTTCCCCAACAAAAAACTATTATATAAATTATGCTCAATAATAAATATGGTTCCGTTTGTTGTTACCGTCAAAGTCCCTTAAGTTGATATTCAATATTTTTTTCGATTTGCATTCGCTATAAAAGGTGTACGTACATACAAGGGGAGCTCTAACCCAGTAACAAACTTAGTATATCTTTAGCCGGTAATAGCAATGAATATAACCAAACAGAGTTGCACAAAGCACACGCAGGTCTATTTGGCTGTCTAGACGTAAACATTAAATAAATTGTTGTTTTTCACTTTTTGTTATTCTTGTGAAGTTGTTGTTAATAAAAAATCGGTTTTTTTTATTTAGCAATTTTATTTAAAAAAAAAAAGAAGGAAAACAACAAATTTTTTATTTAATTATCATTTTGCATTAAGTTGAGAGTTCAATACGTAGGTCTTGAAATTAAAGTGTATCGAGAGAAAAATTAAAAGAAAAGACGAAGGAAAGAGTTTTGAGAAAGGTAAACTTTACAAAGCTTAACTCGCGCTGGACTTTATTGTCGAGACATTTAAGTTTGCAATGTTGATGTTTATTTTTGGAAAACAGGTAACAGATAATATGTAAAAATATCTAGTCAACTGAGTAGGCTTGCCTTGTGCATAGATCTTTGGTCCGTCAATGTGGAGATTGTGTTTGACTGCCACAACTTCAAGGTGAAGCGGTTAGGCTCGATTAGCGACTTTGTTTCATCTTCATCCATAATGAAGCGCCAGATTAAAGGGCCGTCATCTTATTTTCAAAATCATTTCCGTTGTGCATTCAGTCCGTGGGAATGATGGGATGCGTTCTTATTATTTGAAATTACAAACAAATTTTAAATAATTTTATTTTCTTTTCTATTGTATGACGGCATAAATTTCAATTTTCTCTTATTGTGAACCAAATTTTATTACGAATGAAATTTACTGAAGTATTTTTATGCAGTAATCTCTTTGTTAAGGCAACAATATATTGGCCGTGTCCTAAGAGATTTCTGCATAAAATGCTTAACAGTCTCTCGATTTCGAGATCTTTTTTTGATAGATTGAATCGATGTACAATAATATAATAGCAAAGAATTGTTTTTACGCCAAGCGTTACTTAGCGTGTACTTTCTTTCGGTTTAGAATATCACAAAATATATAAAGGTTAAAGCTTGTATTCATGAGCAAAATCGAGCTCACTATGGGATTCAGGAACATTAGACTAACATTAGGCTATAAGACATGAACATAGATTTATTTTAAGGTGAAGTTTATATATCAATTGAAATATGCCAGTAAACAGTTACAAAGTCGCTCAACTGAACCTAAAATTATGACGAAAATATATGACAGAGTTTGGCTGTTATGTCTTTTGCATCGACGCGATTACATATTCTCTGTCTAATATCATTTGAAGTCTCTTTTCTTCGTTTCATATGTCCTGCGTTAGAGCAGCGAGAAATTATCTCCGCCGCACAACAGTACAACAAACCATGCATTCCCGCTCATATCTCGAAATCTTCTGCATTCTTTTAATGAACTTTCGTGCAAATAATTCAAAGGAAAAGTGAATTTAAACACTTCGTATGGTATTTTTGAAAATCAAGGCAAAGGTATACGCGCACAAAATAATAGAGGATAACAGAATATGATTCTATGGATTTTGACATTGAATGTTCAACAGACAAATTGTTGAACGTAGACGCAGAGATATCGGCACAATCACATATTGGTAAATACGATATGTAAGCACAAATCACATCAGCTAAGAAGAGATGGGTTTGAGCAGCAAATAGTTGATCTAGGCAGCCAGGCGCGTACAGTTACACAAAGGCACACAGAGATAGACACACAGATAGACAGCACAGATACTTATTCATATGGCCCTCGCACGCACATATTTATGCTAGCGCATGTAACCAAACTGACAAAATGAATTGTCGCCTGCTTACAACGGATATAATGCATGCGTAGTATCGTTAACGCCGAGAGCGAATAACGAAGAATGTTGTGCATTGTAGTCAAAGTTAATATACGTATAGATGTAAATATTCTTACATACGTACTCGCATGTGTACACTTACAAACCAAGCTAAATAAACTTTGTCTATGAGGAGCGACAACATTCCCCCAATACAACGGCAGGTGGTAAAAAGTTAGTTTTACACTATGTGAATGAGAGAGGTATTCGTTTGTCTGTCCTACATATATATATATATATAGCCAAGCAGGCAACGAAAGTATATATGCTTGCAATTTTAGATGGAAATACTTTAATGAGTTATTGTCTGGATGTATCCTACTAGCCTATGAATGTTTGTATTAAATAATTTCACATATAAATATATGTAATATTATTACATATATATAAGGGCACACTTATCGCACAGAATAAACGACCGCCTTGTCTGCGTACAATTCTCACAAAAACTAAACACATAACTGAAAGGGGAATGTAGCAAATATGTATTCACTGTTACATCCCGAACCATATCAAATGGAAAATAACGTTTCCCATTTTAAACTTTTACGCTCTATGTGTGTGTATATATATAATCGATCTATACAAATACATAAGTCTGCAAATGCTTTCGCTAGCATTAACTTGTCAATTTGAAACTATTTAACTAACTTTTACTTAGTTTCACTTTACCATTTTGGTAGCATATGCTGAAGCATTGCAATGCAATAAAGTGCTGCTGTAACCATTCAAGCCATACTGTATCCTTAATAAACTTTCTCATATTCACGGTCCTCCTTATTTATGGTCTCTTATTCTAAATTTCGTTCCATCTCTCTTTCTCTATCTATCTATATATCTTTTGTCATGACCTCACCTCATCTACCTTTCTCTCTTTGTTAAGTTTATATTTACACGTTTGTGTTGCATTAAACTATATTTCACACTAGAAAGAGTCCTTTTGTGTTCAAGTGTCATCACTCTGTTAATAAATGAATTACAATTATGCTTACGCTTCCATCTTCTATCGATGATGATGACGATGGTGAAGATGATGGTGCTATTGTGTGATATTGTGTGTAATAGTTGTTGCCGTTGCTGTTGCTGTTGCAATGTATTCAGTTTGGATTCATTGTAAAGTTTTGACTTCATCTACGTTTTTCAGTTAGTTTTAGTGTCTTTGCGCTTTTGCAAACACCACAAACAGTAGATTTACTGTCTAGACAAGCCGACATTTAACTTTTTCTTCTTTTCTTCTACTTCTTCTTCTTCTTGTTTTTTTTTTTTTTTTTAAACTTTTTTCGAAGAATTTTTTACTGATTCGTTCCATATGTTATTGCTTTCATTGTGTTTGCTGTTGAAACTGTTGTTTTTACCATTATTGTTGGCGTTCACCAGTCAATATATAATAAATACATAGCATACATCATACCATAGCTATTATTTGCTTATCGATGTAAAAGATGAATTTATTGAAATATTTCTCTTGCATCGTATATACCTGGCGACGACATTTTCTATGAACATTATGTAAAATTTTTGTTAGGAAATTTTAATGAATAGCTTTACTTAAAGAGAAGCCAGTCTTTTATCGTTCATTTTCTGTTAACGTGACACGTTTTTTTTTTTTAAATTTGCGGCAAAAATTTCGTTAAAAATTGCTTTAGAAACGTCCATACTGACTATGTTTATGTAATAGATTTTTTTTTTTTTTTTTAAAACAGATACATCCACATCCATTGACTGGTTCATGAGTTCAAGAGTTCTTGCAATCTCGCTCGAGAATTATTGCGCCTTTTGCGTAACGATTTTGTTACGCCTTTACGGTTTCGACGCAAACGTTTTAGTCTTTTTTCCTCTTTTGCCATCGTCCGGTAAGATTCCTTTTCGTCATCGGACATGGTTTTCCATAAATCTCCACGTGAGGCACATACTTTCTGTCCAACTCCGTAATAAAAATTGAAAAATGGATTACTTGATGCCGCATAACCGGTCTGACGTTGATATTCACGACGCAAGGTGCTTGGACTGGCTGTTACACGAGTCTTGCGTTACATGGCATTTACCAGACAAGCAATTGATTTAGTAATTTTGTTCCAAATCGAAGGCATAGATAAACTCTTTAAGAGACTTTTTAATTTAGTTTTTCACAACTTTATTTTTTTGAACTAATTGTAATATATTTTAATTTTTAAAAGATAAATACAAAATTCCTTTGAAATTGAAAAATTTTAAAAATCACGAGCAGAAAATATACTAAACTATAAACACAAAATTCCCTTGGAAATTGAAAAATTTTAAAAAACACGAAGAGAAAATTTGTGTATGACATTTGAGTCATCGATTACTAGTATAGGAAAACGATGATAGATGAAGAGTGAAAACAAAAAATAAATAAAAAATAAATCCTAATATATACATATATATATACTTGTGCTTACGTTAATTTTAATCAGCGCCTTGTACAGGTAAAAAAAACTAAGATATGGGAAATACGAGTGTACGTAACGATTATATTCGATGATTATGATCTTCCTCTATACTAAATAACAATTTTCTATTTAACATTATCGATTTATTCAGCGTATGCCGACAATAATCATGGAACCATCAAAGTTGCATTTTCGACCTTCAGCACTTTTCTTGTTTATTTGAAGAAATCTACTGCTCAAATCCACCAAGCACAAATGTTTCTCAATAAGTGAAAAACTGACGAAAATTATCACAAGTATATATATAAATATACATCACATATATATATAAACATAAAGAGCTTTATATGCTTATTAGGGTCATGCCATTCATTGAATAAAAACTTGGAACGAAATGCCCATTAGTTCTTGATAGTTTGAAAAGGTTTAAAATTTACTTAGCATTAAATCCAAGTCATTTTTCATACGACCATTTTTAAGAAAGTTCAATGAAAGAAAATATTTCTTTTTTATTTTATAATGAAATTCTATTGATATGTACGTATATTTAGGATAACAGGATAACAATATGACTCTTATCGCACGAAGCAGTCTCTCCCATCTGTATTTCTCATTTTGAAGCATAGGTAAAATAATGAGTTCAGTTCTAGTTTATAATCTTGGCCCTCTACAGCTCTGCAATCGCATGAGAGAATGCTGCGTATAAAATTAAGAATAGCATCCCTTTCATAAGACTTAACGCAACGTTAGCAAATGTAAAAATAGCCGATAGCCTGTGTTGCTAGTGCTCAATGTCTCTTTTTTTAGTCTAAGAATTCAATTCATTAGTCTAAAATTAAAATAATAATAATAATAATAAACAATAAAATTGATGAATGCGACAAATTGTGTGTGTGTGTGTGATGTACGTGAAGTTATAATTGAGTTCCAGTCGGCTTATATGGCGACATTGATTAAATTTATATCCAATTATCCGCCTGAGTAGACGAAGGGGAGGAATCTCGACTAGCAAGTGAATGGTCGTGGGTTCGAATCTCAAGTGCGGTAGAGTTTTTAATAAAAAGCCGATAGCCTTAGATGCTAGTGCTTTTAAGAGTTAAGTCTTAGAATTTATTTCTCTGGCGAAATTAATAATAATAATAATAATAATATATCCAATTAACTGCGTATATTATAGAAGAAAATGTAACAAATTGATTACCACGACGTATGAGTTATTTATTGTTGTCGAAAAAGAATTTAGAAATAATGCGGTTAAAAATTTAAACAAAATTCGTCTTAGTGGCCGAGTAGGCAAGAGTCTCGACTAGCAATTCTCAATGGTCGTGGGTTCAAATCTCAAGTGCGGTGGTGTGTAGAGTTTTTACTAAAGCCGAAAGCCTTAGATGCTGCTAGTGCTTTCAAGGCTTCTTTTAGTCTTAGAATTTGTTACAATAAATAATAATAATATAAACAAGAAACAATCCCATACAATCCCATATACAAGAAGGTTGAACATGCGCGTAGAATTAGTCCCACTGAAATTGGAAGATGATAAAATAAAGTTTATGTTAAAAGGTTATTGTGTTTAAAGTTTTTCTTCAATTCTTGGCAAAAGGATTGTTTACAATTGTGAGACAATGCAACAACAATTACCGTTCTCGTTTATATGTTTGTTGACAATAAATCTATATTCCAAATTTATACCCTACATCAATTGCAGTACAAGTTAGTTTGAGTGGAGGTATGCAACGCGCGCTGAAGGATTTGAGATAGACCCGATTTTCACTGCACCAGTCCATAGAGTAAGTTTCTAGGAACAAATGCCCATGGCCTGTTATGGTGTTCCTTCCCTTTTTAGGCATGTTCGAAAAGCTGGAATATATAACGTTAATGCAAATTTTTTTAGGTTAAGCGCTCAAACTTCAATTCAAATACTAACTTTGTCCTGATTGACAGTTAAATAGATAAACTAATATGGACTAATATATCTAAGTCGATGGTCAGCAAGTTCATACGACAATGTCTGAATCTATGTCACGAATTGCACCAAACGTTTCCCTAACATACACCAAATATCGCCTACAAGTTATTTTTTTTGCAAAAATTTTAGCAAATTCATTACTTAAACTATAGTCGATCATTAGTCAAAATATTTCGCCACGTTTCTGATAGAACATTACTTCCGTGCCGAAACAAAGGCTGACCTTTTAAGGTTATATACAAAAAGGTCGAAATCGAAGTTCTACGCGGATATCATCAAGGCGCACCGACGTTTCCTTTTCCATTCATCCAATAACAATCTCTCTTCACTTTCAGTTCCATTTTTTTCTTCAATGTTCGCGTCAAGCCTTTTGTGACAATTTTGTCACATCCAACTAATCCTCAGACTTTAACAGCACTACTCTTCGATTTAATTAGGAAAAGTAACACTTCGCCAGTAATAAAGCACTTCACATATTCACAGTTTCAAGGATCTGTGTTTAATATCCGTGAAAAAAGAGACGAGACAGACGTACTGAAATCTTAAACTTATAATGTTTTAATGTGAAGCTGGTGAGATTATGGCAACCCTTTTTATCGTAAATCCTTTAAAACTTTAACTATACTCCTATAAAATTTTATGAACTCTCTATAAAATATAACGACAATCCCTTGGGATAAAGTTATAATACTGTTATATAAAACTATATATAAAAAAAAAAATATATATATATAATATATATTTCTTTCAAAAGCCGTTACGAAAACAAATTTATTAAGAAATCAGAAAACGATGTTAAACATTATTGTCTGTCTACGCTCTTGTCTGCTTCTCATTATTAACCGTTATTAGGCAAAGTATTAACACAAGTCACAAAGTATGAAAAAAAAAAAGAAAAACAAAAAATGTATGCATATATACATATAAGTATATATATGCATTCACCCGACACGTTCCAACAATGTATATGAATTTATAATTCACAAATATGTACATATGCATGTATGCACATATCCGTGTGCGCAAATATTTGTTTAGAGTTTCAAGTAGCGAATTTTTATGGTGAAGCTCTTTTTTTTTTATTGTTTATAAACAATGTATGTATATATGTATATATGTATATATGCATATATATTGATGTATATGTGTGTATGTGCGCCTCTTTTTGTTGTTTATGCTCTTTGTCTCTTTAGCTGTTGGCGTATTGTTATTATTCTAAGCTATGTCTAGACTTTAAATAGTTTATTAAGAAAAAAATTAAAATTAAAATACCATAACTAGAAAGTTGTGAAAGGACAGAAAGAGTAGTAAAATGAAGGGGGGAAGCTGTTCAAATCAATAATTACTAGTACACTCTAATCAGGTAAACAGATGTGCGTCGATTTTCTTGTGCTTTCAAAAGAAAAACTAAAAAAACCCACAAATACCCTAGAAGTGAAATCAGTCAGATCAGTTGGAATCTATTGGAATCTATATTTGAACCTTACGCAAACACTTGTAGGATATCGTTTATATACAATTATGGGTAAAAAACATAATCGTGAAAAAATCGATATAGATTTATTTTGAATTTCGAAATACCAGTGGATCGATGCCGATATGTGATGGCAAGCATTTAAGCGTTTCTCGATTGATCGAATAGTTTCGGGACTCATTTTGAGGGTCATATGTTAAATCTATTTATTAACGATTTCGTCTGCCTTTAAATACTAACCACAACCAAAAACAGTAGATTTTAAACTTTTACAAAATCAATCGGTTATATTTATAGTTATACAAACTGATCAACTTAAATAATTTCTTCTCGTTTAAGGCGACTATAAATAGTTTCAAATTGCTTTTATTTTGTTTGTTTATTATTATTATTATTATTATTATTATTAATATTATTATTATTACCGTTCCTATTGCCATACATCTTGTACTTTGTTCTCACATAACTGCGATTGACACGTGCCCGCATTATGTGATTATTATACTTAATAAGCTTACTAAAGTCTATAAGTTGATTATTTACCCTGTGTACTGTACATGTACAATAAGCGGCTAGACATTTGCAGTTTGTTTAATGAAATCAGAGAATTTTAAAACAATAAACAAAACAAAAAAAGAAAATAAATAAATAAAAAAATTGTTGTTCAGATAGAATTATAATGAATTACTTACTCTACGAATATATGAAAAGTGAGAAAAAGGTTTAATTCAAATTGGAAAAATTTTTAGATATCTATCCACAATTTATATGCATGTATACATATATATACATATATATATATATATATATATACGAATTTATTCAAACAATACAATACAGACGAATTGACTGACTGACGGACTGACACATACCTGCATATATCAAATCTAGATCTTAAATTCATTTAAAACAGTAATATATTTATAATGCCTTTACAATTGTTTCGGAGAGAGTTAAAAGAGATGGTTCATTTTGAATACGAACAAGTAAGAAAATTCAATTTCGGCCGAATCTTTTATACCAATCATCGTTTACCCCCTACAACGGATGAAAGAGGTAAAACAACATAATGCTTTATAATATGAAGCGGGCACAGTTGATTTCTTCTATTTTCAAAAATTTTTCTCGCATAGGCGTGTACGCGGTGTAGGAACGTCCTTGGAAAAGTTTAAGTCAATTCCTAATTGTTTTGCAAGTATGTAGGCGATGTCTGCTTACGACAAATGCTACAAAGTTGGTCAACCAGTCAGATGACCAGGCGAACACGTTTACGTGAATTCTAAATTTGACTGGACGGACAGACGGACATGCTTAAATCGATTTAGAATTCGATGCTGATCAAGAATATATATACTTTGTATGGTCCCTGATGCTTCCTTCTGGACGTTGCAAACGTTTTGACAAACTGGATATCCCCCTCATTGTTTGGCGATGGGTATAAAAATTATATATCTTAAGAAGTTTATGTAAGGCATATATATTTCCTTTTATTTATTTTAATTATTTAGTTTATTTCTTAATTGACTTTCCTCTACTTAAAGGGGTAAGCCATCGCACCCATTTTCATTGTTCGGTTGGAAGGGAAGACAAACGGATACAAATATTTGAAGAGCCGATCAAGCATAATACGCAGTAAGTTATAGTAAATGCTATAGAGTGCCACGGTTCACCATTGCATGCCCTACATCATTCTACGGTTATGCATATAAGGACAAAGAAAATAAGGCTTTACATGGGAAATGGTTGTAAAAGCGATCCGATCCGAAACATTAACAGTAGCGTTTGTCCTTCGTCCAAAACATGTCAATGTCCATCAAAACGTCTCCAAAATTGTGGCCTGTAGGTTTAACACAAGAAAATAAGACAAACAGACAGACAAGACAGTAAAAAAATGCTGCATTTTTGTGTTGCATACTTTGGCACAAACTTAACGTATCCTTGTATCACTAGTGACGTAACGTAACGTTTAGTTTTTTTGAACTTTAATTATCGAAAATATAAATTTTAAAAAATTTTGCCCGAGATTCGCGTGAACTGTATGCTTAATTTGCTAAAGAGTTTACTCAACCGTCTTGTCTTTGTACTCTATGCAACTTGTGGTGCCAGGTTTCATGAATGATTCAGAATCATTTTCTTAGTCATTCTCAGAATAGATCCAGGCCTATCCGACCATTTGTCTGTCCGCCTGTGTTATTTTCTTGTGTTCAAACTACAGGGCGTCGTTTTTTAGATATTTTGATGACATTTGGTACTCTGACATGTTTTGACCCAACGACTGGACCATTTACAAAACGACTAATTATAAAACGACGTAGGCTATTTAATAGTTGGCGTACCCTACTACAGTTTTTTGACTGAAGCAGACAATTATTACATATACTAAAGATTAGCTAAAAATATTTATTTTGCTCAGAAATGCCTTCCATTGACTGATGACATGATTGCGATTAAGAAAAACTCTTAATTCATTCGCGCAGTAAAATTCCTTTCCTGATCGCTGTTGACATGAATTCATGTCCTCGAATTTCTGTTGTCTGATGCGCGTCGCTTTCTATAACCGCTATTGTGGAATTCACTAATGGCATTAGTTGAAGAGATGTGTTCAGATATTGAAATATTTTCTCTTTATATAGAGATAAGTATACCAGTAGTTGCTCTTGTGAAACGATATGCACATTACTTGAAATGATTCACTTATAATAATTTTTTGTAGTGTAAAGGTACAGAAACGGGACCTTACCTAACTTGAGAACTGTAGGATGCATTTGCCAAGACACGTGTAATATATTGCCTTAAATAAGCTATGCACAATAATGGCAAGCGGTCTCTTAACTACCCAGAAAACAAGACAACGAGTATATAAATTATAAAAATTTTTTTACATTATAAACATACACATAATTACAATAATAATATTTCAAAGCAAATTTTATAGTTTTTTATCATTGATTTAATGCTATAAGCTTACGGCAACTAATTTTAGAACTTCCACATTCTCGTCGGTATTCAGTATTGGAAATAGAAAAAATTTACGGTTCGCGAATGCTTGCGTTAATACATTAATTTTTTTTTATGAAGGTAACTAAAAATCTTGAAAGTAGTCAATCATTCCATAAAATGATTATATTCTGTTCAGTAATCTTATCCGACTTGTGGTGCAGGTTGATCTAGTGCGCAGCGCTAATGCGCAGAATGACTTCGGATAGACGCACCTTTGATTATACCGATCGATTCAGAATCATAATCTGAATTTAGTCTAAAACTGTGTGTCCGTATGTACGTCCATCTAAATTTGTGTTCGAGCTACAGGACGCAACGTATTTTGACGCAAGGACATGTATCTTTAGAATATGGCGTTATATGGGGAGTGGTCGAAAAAGTTTATCGATTCAAAACATTTTCAATAGTGTTCGCTAAAGTACATCAGTGTACCAAATTTCGTCAAAATATCTCAAAAATTACATGGCCAGACAGCGGACGGACAGACAGTCTTAGATCACGTCCACACTAACCACAAGTAATGTACGGTATAATAATCCGTTTTTCTCTATCTGGTGTAGTAGCTGAAATCTGGCAGAAGGATTCCCTAATTGATTAAAACTACGATGTTAAGATATGGGCACGATCTACCCATATGCCCGCTCACAATATAAAAGAAACTAACTGACAATCTCGGAAACGTTAAAAACTAAGGCAGACTCCAAAAGCACACAACGCCTTTTATTCGCTATTTTCGTCCAAAACATTCGATTCCGTGAAGATATTTGTGAGAAGCACTGAGTTTGATGTTCGTTCGTTCGGATCATTGTCTTGTTCACACTATAATTTATTCTGTTCACTGTACTAGCACACTAGCACACACTCCACAATTAGCAATAAAATTTTGATTGCAATTTATTTTCAATTCCAAGCAAAAATTCACAAGCGCTTCACCCAACTATAAATAAATTCGGGATAAATTGGAAATAGATAGGAAATAAAATTTTATCTTTTTTTATGGACATACTAATAAATCAATCGAGATCGTATTTGGATGGAATAGGCAGATAGCAATTTTTTGGAAATATTGAAAGCTATAGGCAAAAATATGGAAAAGTTATTAGTGTTTTTTTCGGGGTTTTGTCAGTTTTTAATCTACAATAAAGGTATATGTGGGCAAATCAAAATTATTTTGTTACTTTAGATTCTCAATCGATCAGAAAATGTTGTTTAAAATTTCCTCTTTCTAGCGATCAGAAAACCTGTGTATGACGCCCATCGACCCTTGTTTATCATTAATCGCGCCGATCGTCATTTAAGATTAGCTTGAAATGAGTTTTCATCTTAAAATTCAACGTAAGCTCGAACTTTTTTGACATTTCGTAAATTGTCTCTTGATAAACTTTATTTTAATTAAGTCAAAAATATTTAAGCCATTATTCTTATACGCGTATGATACTTTGATATTAATTTTGCTTTAATTATATGCATTTTTTGTGACACGTGCTTTAAAAAATCGCTATCTTTCCTATGAACATAAACTTGAATCAATAAACATTAAGGTAAATATTTATACAAATATAGTAACAAGTTTAAGACATGACTTTATTCATAAATAATGAAATCATATTCCGAACACGACATATATATATATGTATATATATATATATATAAAACGATTTCAGTCAATATTTCGCTTCGTGTTTCAAACATTTCGAGGAAATTTAATTTATTAACTGAGCATCAAATAACTGACGATATGTTGAGATTCTAAGAAATTAAATATTGCACTGCGCTTTCACTTTCCAAATTGCGTTTACAACAACCAAGTGTTCTATGATAATATAAGCTAATCGAATTAAACAACGACGATAAACTCATATAGGTGTCGAATTGAAGAAAATATCTAAGAATTGTGAAGGTTAGTTCACGCCTAAACTCTTTAACGAATTCTAATTGTTAGACACCGTCAGATCAAACAATCTCATACTGGGTTTTCTGTCTTCATTGTTTTATTTCTCTCATAATTGTCTCCCCAATATCACTTCCTATCAACTGGAGTTTCACCCGCAAAAGCAGCTGACAGAGTCACTTTTTTCTTTATCGTCACAAACGGTTGCTATCTGTTCGATAAGAGTTCCGCGATCAGCTTTTCTCCTCTCCATTGTTTCAATAATATATACGATATTTCTTTTATGTATAAATATATATATAAATATATATATATATATATATTGAAAACAAATCTTGTGTCTGGGATATGAAACTTGACATATAAATTCGATCGCATCTTGTTATCTGCTAACACTACTTTTGAGCTTGTGTTGAGGACCAGTCACTACTATTCTTTGACAGAATGTAAAGTGTTTTGGGAGTCTAGTACAATCTGCCCATTCGAATCGAACTCAAGCCCTCCCTTTCTTTGTTTAAACTTGCTTTAATATCTCGCAGATTTACAAGAATCATAGAACAGATCTAATTGCAGGTGATCTATTTTTTTTCATCCGATT